TCAAAATCATTCAAACAAAGCTATTTGAATCAAATTAAAGTCAAACACATTCAAACAAAGCTTTTTGAATTAAATGAAAGTCAAATGCATTAAACAAAGCTAATTGATTCAAATGAAAGTCAATCACATTCAAACAAAGCTAATTTAATCAAATAAAAATCAAACACATTCAAAGAAAGCTTTTTCAATCAAATGAAATTCAAATGCACTCAAAATAGCGATTTGAATCAAGTGAAAGTCAAACAAAGCTTTTTGAATCAATTGATTGTCAAATCCATTCAACGATGCTAATTGAATCATATGAAAGTCAAGCACATTCAAACAAATCTTTTTGAATCAACTGAAAGTCAAATGCAATTAAATAAAAGTAATTAAATCAAGTGAAAGTCAAACACATTTAAACAAAGCTTTTTAAATCAAATGAAAGGTAAATCCATTCAAAAAAGCTAAATGAATCAAGTGAAAGTCTAGGTAATTCAAACAAAGCTTTTTGAATCAAATGACTGTCAAATGCGTTCAACGATGCTAATTGAATCAAATGAAAGTCAAACACATTCACACAAAGCTTTTTGAATCAAATGAAAGTCATATGCATTTAACAAAGCTAATTGAATCAAATGAAAGTCAATGGCATTCTAACAAACCTAATTGAATCAAACGAAAGTCAATGGCATTCTAACAAACCTAATTGAATCAAATGAAAGTCAACCACATTCAAACAAAGCTAATTGAATCAAATGAAATTTAACCACATTCAAACAAAGCTAATTTAAATCAAGTGAAATTCAAACACATTCAAACAAAGCTTTTTGAATCCAAAGAAAGTCAAATGAGTTCAAAAAAGCTAATTGAATCAAGTGAAAGTCAAACAAATTCAAACATAGCTTTTTGAATCAAATGATTGTCAAATGCATTCAACGATACTAATTGAATCATATGAAAGTCAAACACATTCAAACAAATCTTTTTGAATCAAATGAAAGTCAAATGCATTCAAAAGATCAAATTGAATCAATTAAAAGTCAACCACATTCAAACAAAGCTAATTAAATCCAATGGAAGGCAAACACATTAAAACAAAGCTATTTGAATCAAATGAAAGTCAAACACATTGAAAAAAAGGTATTAAAATCAAGTGAAAGTCAAAATCATTCAAACAAAGCTAATTAAATCATATGAAAGTCAAATGCTTTCAAAAAAGCTAATTGAATCAACTAAAAGTCCAAAGAATTCAAACAAAGCTTTTTGAATCAAATGATTGTCAAATGCTATCAACGAGGCTAATTGAATCATATGACAGTCAAACAAAGCTATTTGAATCAAATGAAAGTCAAACACATTCAAACAATGTTATCTGAATCAAATGAAAGTCAAATGCATTCAAAAAAGATAATTAAATCAAACGAAAGTCAAACACATTCAGAAAGCTAATTGCATCAAATGAAAGTCAAAAACATTCAAACAAAGCTAATTAAATCATATGAAAGTCAAATGCTTTCAAAAAAGCTAATTGAATCAACTAAAAGTCCAAAGAATTCAAAAAAGCTTTTTGAATCAAATGATTGTCAAATGCATTCAATGATGTGTAAGCAAGATGAGAACCTTGTTACAAAAGTACGTTTTAAGGGGTCTTAGTGAAATCGTGATTAGTGAAGGGGAGAATAGGGGAACACTCAACCCTAGTCTCGGATATAACAAAGGGGAACACTCACCCTTTGCTTGGTGTAGTTAGGAATGGGGAACACTCAACCCACTCGTTCACTACGCAAGTTCCTAGGTTTGGGAACACTCTACCAAAACTAGCACTCTTCAAATTTGAGTTATCAAACTTGGACCTTAAAAATGACTAATTGCTAAGTCACGTTTAATCAACAAAACACAAGTGTTTAAGCAAATTTCTGGATGCTTTTCATTCATGCATAGTACACTATTTATAGTAGTGTATAAGTTACATAAAGGAACATAGGATTCCCTTCTACAATTTTTAATGATCATCCATCACTTGCCTAATTAAAAGACAAGATAAAATGCTAATTATAAGGTGATTAAAAGGCTCATATGACTGTCCAATTAACCCCTCATAACAACAAAGTAAAACTAATCAACTAAGCTTAAAACTATGCTTAAATTAAGGAGAAAACGTTCAGCAATCATGAGGTCTTCAAACAGCATTTTCAACGTCCAAGAAAACATGCAAACAACCCCCTTGAGTCACGCTTGTAACCTCCCATTTAAACCCTTGATTCAAGCTCCTTTATTCTAGCAACAACTCTCTAATTAAGTACATGTAAACCCCAAGTAAAGAGGTAGAATAATCAGCCAACTAATGCCTTAATTCACGCCCAACACAAGCCTTGAATCACGCTGTCAAAATCAGTCCAATGTAACTCCCAAATGCATAAATCATGCGTGGCTTCAAGCTTGGAAAAAACGGCTCATGTACTAGATACCTTCAACAAGATTAATTACACTAAGGGAAGTGTAACCATTTGTTAAACTCTTTGGACTAAAACCGTGCATAGGATTGAAGAATGATTTAGACAAGAATAATCCCTTAGCACCTTGCTCAATAGCACCGTGTTGAACCTCCTCATCTTGACCATGGATAGTTGACCCTTGACCATCTTGGTCATCTTCCCCTTCTTCAAAAGGAATTGCCCTCAATTCGTCATCATCAAAGTAAGGAGCAAGGTCCCCAACGTTGAATGTGCTTGAGACACCAAATTGGCCCCCCAAATCAACCTTGTATGCATTGTCATTGATCTTTCCCACGATTTCAAATGGTCCTTCGGCTCTTGGCATAAGCTTGTTCTTTCTTTTGCTAGGAAACCTCTCTTTTCTCATGTAAATCCACACTAAGTCACCAACTTCAAATTGCTTCACGTTTTTCACCCTCTTGTTGGCTTGTTTCGTGTAGACCTCATTTGCTTTCTCAATGTTCTTCCGTACTTCCTTGTGGACCTTTAACATGAACTCGGCTTGCTCCTTAGCTCCACCATGAACGAACTTGTCTTGTGGCAAAGCTATGAGATCAATAGGAACATAAGGATTTACACCATATACCACTTCAAAAGGAGAGTACTTTGTAGTAGCACTAGGAGTCCGATTGTAAGCAAACTCGGCATGAGCTAGCTTGACATCCCAATCCTTAGCACTCTTACTAACCAAGGTCCTAAGCAACGAACCCAGAATTCTATTCACCACTTCAGTTTGCCCATCGGTTTGTGGATGATGTGAAGTAGAAAACAGCAGCTTTGTTCCCATTAGGCGCCATATTGATTTCCAAAAATGACTAAGAAATTTTGTATCACGATCGGACACAATGGTGCGTGGCACCCCATGAAAACGAACCACTTCTTCAAAGTATAACTTAGCCACTTTCATAGCATCTTCGGTTTTGTGACAAGGAATGAAATGAGCCATTTTCGAAAACCGATCAACAACCACCATGATTGAGTCTTTACCCCTTTGAGTTCTAGGTAAAGCCACAATGAAATCCATGCTCACATCCTCCCAAGGTCTTTCCGGAACTGGCAAAGGCTTGTAGAGACCTTTGTGAAACACCATCTTGGCCCTTTGACAAGTAGAACAACGACTAACCACATGATGAACCGTGGCTAACATTTTCGGCCAATAAAAGTGAGCTTGAAGAAGCTCCATTGTTTTTTGAATTCCCACGTGACCAGCTAGACCTCCTCCATGAGCCTCATGAATCAACAAGCTTCTAATTGGACACTTAGGAATGCATAACCGATTTCCCTTAAAAAGAAAGCCATCATGTAAGGAAAATAAGTCATATACTCCATGGACACATTTCTGTATTATTCCATTGAAATCGCCATCCTCCTTGTAGTATGCTTTGATCAAATCAAACCCAAGAACCTTTGCTTCGACAACTCCAAGCAAATTATGTCTCCTAGATAAGGCATCCGCAACAACATTAGCCTTTCCACTCTTGTATTTAGAGGAAAAGTTAAAGGTTTGCAAGAATTCAACCCATTTAGCATGTCTTGCATTCAGCTTCTTTTGGCCATGTATGAACCTCAAGGATTCATGATCGGAATGCAATATGAAAGGTTGTGGCCTCAAGTAATGTGACCAATGATCTAGAGCTCTTACCATAGCATAGAACTCTTTATCATAGGTGGAGTAATTCAACTTGCCTTGACTCATCTTCTCACTAAAGTAAGCAATGGGACGCCCACCTTGAATCAATACGGCACCAATACCCTTTCCACTTGCGTCACATTCAACCTCAAATGGTTTGGAAAAATCCGGAAGTGCTAAGATGGGTGTGTTGCACATCTTCTTCTTGACTTCTTCAAATGCCCTTTGAGCTTGGGGTGTCCATTCAAACACGCCTTTCTTAGTACACTCGGTGATGGGAGACATGAGTGTGCTAAAATTCTTGATGAATCTTCTATAGAAGGAGGCAAGTCCATGAAATGAACGAACTTCCGTGAGTGTCCTTGGACTAGGCCATGATTGAATTGCTTCAATTTTGCTAGGATCCACCTTCACGCCATCACCTGAAACTATGTAACCAAGAAACATGACTTCATACAATAAAAAATCACATTTTTCTAGTTTCCCATACAATTTTTCTTGCCTCAAAACAGAAAATACTTGGAAAAGATGATCAAAATGAGATTCTTCATCACGTGAATAAATGAGAATGTCATCCAAGTATACTACCACGAACTTGCCAAGAAATGGCCTTAGCACCTCATTCATTAATCTCATGAACGTGCTAGGGGCATTTGTAAGGCCAAATGGCATGACGAGCCACTCATACAACCCATGCTTTGTCTTGAACGCGGTTTTCCATTCATCCCCTTCTCTCATGCGAATTTGATGATACCCACTTCTCAAGTCTACCTTTGAGAAGACCTTGGAACCACTTAACTCATCAAGCATGTCATCAAGCCTTGGAATTGGAAACCTGTACTTGATAGTAATGTTATTAACGGCTCTACTATCAATACACATTCTCCAAGTACCATCTTTCTTAGGGACCAACAAAGCAGGAACGGCACATGGACTCATGGACTCACGCACATAACCCATCCCCATTAGCTCTTCAATTTGACGTTGTAATTCCTTAGTTTCTAAAGGGTTACACCTATAGGCTGGCTTATTTGGCAAAGGTGCTCCGGGAATGAGATCGATTTGATGCTCAATTCCACGTATGGGTGGTAGTTCTTTAGGTAATTCATTCGGAAAAACGTCCTCAAAATCCTTAATCAATTGGGCTAACTTAGGATTTTGAGCAACAAAATTTTCGTGGGTTTCTTTGGAGTATAGTATGAACAACTCTCCCTCACCATCTAACTCCCTTTCAAACTCTTTAAGAGACAACAAGGATACTTCTTTTTGGGGTGTTTGTGATGGTGAAAACCGTGGGGGTGGTAAAGGGTGTAGTTTTTTCTTTCTCCCTTCATGGACTATGGTATACGTGTTGTGATACCCATCATGTATAGATCTTTTATCAGTTTGCCAAGGCCTACCAAGTAGAATATGACAAGCATCCATGGACACAACATTACATAATATAGAATCACAATACGAACCAATACAAAAAGAAACCATGCATTGCTTCCTAACCCCAGTGCTAGCATTAGAATCTAACCAACTTAATTTGTAAGGTTGTGGATGATTAGTAGTCGTAAGACCAAGTTTAGATACTAGGGTCTTAGACACGGTATTAGCCTCACTTCCTCCATCAATAATCAAATCACATACCTCGTCACCAATTTTACAACGGGTGATGAAAATGTGTTGTCGTTGGGGGGCAGCATCCTCTTCCACACGTGCTTGTAAGGCCCTCCTAATCACGAGGCTAGTCTTCTCCTCTGGCTCGGCAATGCAATCATCACAATCATCTTCAACTTCTTCTTCCCCCTCCTCAAACTCATCCCAGTTGATGTTTTGAGTGGCCATGAGCTTAACCTCTTGTATGGTTAACGCCCTAGTATTAGGACAATCCTTCTTGTAATGACCTCGTCCTCCACATTTGTAACACACAATGTCACCTAGCTTCACGTCCTTTGTGTCCTTTTTTGGTGGATTACTTGGTTTGTTAAAGGAAGAACCTTCCTTCGTAGGAAAAGAAGGTTTTCGTGCCAATTGAGGAATGGTAGTAGGCTTCTTCTTCTTCCTCTTAGCATCGAACTTAATCACCAACTTGCAAGCTTCAACAAACGTGAGGTTAGTATAACCTTCAAGTTTGTCTTGTAATTCTTGGTCCAAACCAGATATGAAACGCCCCATTTTGAGCTCTTCATTTTCGGTTACTTCACACACAATAGCAAGTCTATCAAACTCTTTTATGTAATCCTCCACAGAGTCCCCATTTTGTTGCAAGGTACTCCACTTCACATATTGACTTTGCTTGTAATTGTGGGGGATGAAACGGTCTTTCATCCGTTTCTTGAGTTTGCCCCAAGTAGAGATAGGAGCTTTCCCCCTAAGGGTACGTCCCCTCTGCTCTCCTTGTAGCCAACTATCACCATAGCCCTTCAACTTGACTTTGGCAATCTTAAAACGTTGAACATCCTCATGAATGTCCTTGTATTCAAAGTACCTTTCCAAGGATTTCTCCCATTCCAAGTACTTCTCTGGATCAAGTGTCCCATCAAAAGAAGGGACGTCCACTTTGAGACTCCTATCTTCCCTCCTAGGTGGAGGGTCTTCATCTTGATCTCTCCTATCTTGCTCGTTCATGAGCCTTGCCATCAAGGCAGCAAGGTTCCCTTGTAGATTGGCATTGGTTTCGGCCAACCTTTCTTGACTAGCAATGGATCGATTAAGAGCTTCCAAGGCTGTCCTCAAGTCTTGATTCTCTCCCATGGTGTGTAGGTATACGACCCCTTAGGAAATGTTTAGGAAAACACCCCCTACCTGACGCGCCAAATGATGTGTAAGCAAGATGAGAACCTTGTTACAAAAGTACGTTTTAAGGGGTCTTAGTGAAATCGTGATTAGTGAAGGGGAGAATAGGGGAACACTCAACCCTAGTCTCGGATATAACAAAGGGGAACACTCACCCTTTGCTTGGTGTAGTTAGGAATGGGGAACACTCAACCCACTCGTTCACTACGCAAGTTCCTAGGTTTGGGAACACTCTACCAAAACTAGCACTCTTCAAATTTGAGTTATCAAACTTGGACCTTAAAAATGACTAATTGCTAAGTCACGTTTAATCAACAAAACACAAGTGTTTAAGCAAATTTCTGGATGCTTTTCATTCATGCATAGTACACTATTTATAGTAGTGTATAAGTTACATAAAGGAACATAGGATTCCCTTCTACAATTTTTAATGATCATCCATCACTTGCCTAATTAAAAGACAAGATAAAATGCTAATTATAAGGTGATTAAAAGGCTCATATGACTGTCCAATTAACCCCTCATAACAACAAAGTAAAACTAATCAACTAAGCTTAAAACTATGCTTAAATTAAGGAGAAAACGTTCAGCAATCATGAGGTCTTCAAACAGCATTTTCAACGTCCAAGAAAACATGCAAACAACCCCCTTGAGTCACGCTTGTAACCTCCCATTTAAACCCTTGATTCAAGCTCCTTTATTCTAGCAACAACTCTCTAATTAAGTACATGTAAACCCCAAGTAAAGAGGTAGAATAATCAGCCAACTAATGCCTTAATTCACGCCCAACACAAGCCTTGAATCACGCTGTCAAAATCAGTCCAATGTAACTCCCAAATGCATAAATCATGCGTGGCTTCAAGCTTGGAAAAAACGGCTCATGTACTAGATACCTTCAACAAGATTAATTACACTAAGGGAAGTGTAACCATTTGTTAAACTCTTTGGACTAAAACCGTGCATAGGATTGAAGAATGATTTAGACAAGAATAATCCCTTAGCACCTTGCTCAATAGCACCGTGTTGAACCTCCTCATCTTGACCATGGATAGTTGACCCTTGATGACCAATATGGTCAAAGTTCTAATGATTGTGATGCTCCAAGTAGTCAAGGTGAGGTCCAAGTTCAAAGCAATGCAAAGGAGTTGTTTCTATCCAAATCATTCCTTACTCTTTTGCACGGTTTTGGTCCGAAACATTTTACAAGTGGTTACACTTCACTTAGTGTAATTAACCTTGTAGAAGGTATCTAGCAAGTGACGGTTTTCCAAGCTCCAAGTGCAACGGTTACAAGCTGATTGAAGAGGCGTGATTCATGGCACTTGTTGGGCGTAAATTATGGAGTTTGTTGGCTGAACATTGCACCTCATTATTTGGGGGTTATGAAGAATAAAGAGGCGTGAATCAAGGCATTAAAATGGGGGTTACACAAGCTTGCAAATGGCTGTTTTGGACGTGTGTTGAAGATGCTCTTTGGATGCTGTTTGGCTGATCATCTTCCCTTGTTTCAAGCCTAGTCTTTAGTTCTTTTAATTAAGTTTAATCTTGTTTGTAAAAGGGGTTAAGTGGGACGTGTATTCTCCACTCATTCCCTTAGTTAATTTCCTTTTGTCTATTTTATTTTGTTAATTAAAGTAGGCAAGTGAAAGGGTTGTATTGATGCTATAAATAGCATACTTTGAATGAATGAAAATCATCCAAGATTATTTGCCTAAAAAAAAACGTGTGTTTTTGTTTATTGAAGTGACTTGAGTTTAGTTCACTTGTTTTCCAAATTTGAGTATCCGAATTTGAAGAGTGTTAGTTTTGGTGAGAGTTCCCAAAATTAGGACTTATAGTTTATGATTTGGTGAGAGTTCCCTCATCTAAACTATCCCAAGCAAACGAGTGAGAGTTCCTCTTTGCTATATCCTTAGCTTAGGGTGAGAGTTCCCCTAACTAAACTGATCACTTGATAATTGAACCTTAAAATCCTTTGAATCTTTTAACTTATCCTTTTTGTAACAAGGTTTCTCATCTTGTTTACACATCATTTGGCGCGTCAGGTAGGGGGAAATTTTCTTAAATTTTCCAAAGGGGTCGAATACCTACATACCATGGGAGAGAATCAAGACTTGAGGACAGCTTTGGAAGCTCTTAATCGATCCATTGCTAGTCAGGAAAGGTTGGCCGAAACCAATGCCAATCTCCAAGGGAACCTTGCTGCCTTGATGGCAAGGCTCATGAACGAGCAAGATAGGAGAGATCAAGGTGAAGACCCTCCACCTAGGAGGGAGGATAGGAGTCTCAAAGTGGACGTTCCTGCCTTTGATGGGGCACTTGATCCAGAGAAGTACTTGGAATGGGAGCAATCCTTGGAAAGGTACTTTGAATACAAGGACATTCATGAGGATGTTCAACGTTTTAAGATTGCCAAAGTCAAGTTGAAGGGCTATGGTGATAGTTGGTTGCAAGGAGAACAAAGAGGGCGTACCCTTAGGGGTAAGGCTCACATTTCCACTTGGGAAAAGCTGAAGAAAAGAATGAGAGATCGGTTCATTCCTCACAATTACAAGCAAAATCAGTATGTGAAATGGAGCACTCTCCAACAAAATGGTGATTCGGTGGAAGACTATATCAAAGAATTTGATAGGCTTGCCATTGTATGTGAAGTGACTGAAAATGAAGAGCTGAAGTTGGGGCGTTTTGTAGCTGGGTTGGAACAAGAGTTACAAGACAAACTTGATGGTTATACTAACCTCACGTTTGTGGAAGCTTGCAAACTGGTGACAAAGTTTGATGCTAAAAGGAAAAGGAAGAAAACGCCTACTACTACTCCAGTGGTGCGCAAACCACCCTTCAACTCAAAGGAGGGTTCTTCTTTTAGCAAGCCTAATGAGCCACCAAAGAGGAACACGAAAGACTTCAAGCTTAGTGACATTGTATGTTACAAGTGTGGAGGTAGAGGACATTATAAGAAAGATTGTCCTAATTCTCGAGCCTTAACCATGCAAGAGGTTAAACTCATAGCCACCCAAAGCATCAATTGGGAGGAATTTGAGTCTGAAGAAGAGAAGGAAGTGACCCCGTTCGAAAAGGAAGAGGAGGAGGACCAATGCTATCCTGAAATGGGGGACAAAACAAACTTGGTGGTTAGGAGAGCTTTGCAGGCTCGTGTGGAGGAACCTTTGGCGCCACAAAGACAACACATTTTCATCACCAAATGTAAAGTTGGTGACGAGGTATGTGATTTAATTATTGATGGGGGCAGTGAGGCTAATACCGTGTCGAAAACCTTAGTATCTAAACTAGGTCTTACCACCACAAATCATCCACATCCTTACAAATTGAGTTGGTTAGATTCTAATGCTAGTACTGGGGTTAGAAAGCAATGTATGGTGAATTTTTCGATTGGTTCATATCATGATAGTCAATTGTGTGATGTTGTTTTAATGGATGCTTGTCATATTCTTCTTGGGAGACCGTGGCAATCTGATAAAAAATCTATCCATGATGGGTACCATAACACCTACACTATCACTCACCAAGGGAAACAAAAGAAATTGCACCCTTTACCACCCCCACGGTTTTCACAACCACAAAAGCCACAAATTTCTTTATTATCTTGTAAAGAGTTTGAGAGGGAGTTTGAGGGTGAGGAA